TTGATGAAAAAGGAAAGGGGTGATTTAGATGGCAAGAAAGAGCTCAAGAGCATCTGTCTTCCATTGCCGAGCTCAGCCTGTGTGTTCCACTTAGCCATTGAAATTTTAAGGAGGCGAACAGCACTGTTACAGAGCCTCACACACATGATGTCATTGAGGTTCTTTCATTACAGGCTGCAGAGTTTGCTGTGCTGGGCTGGGCATTCCCAGGCTTTTTTTTTAATATATATTTGACTTCAGAGGTTGTGATCCAACCGAGTCATGTGTGTGAATAAAACAGAAATTTTGAAGATTATAGAAAGAAAAGACATAACTTCATGAGAAGTTTTTTCTGCTTCTGCCTCTTCAGCTCTTTATTGAGTGACAAAATCCCCTCTACCATAAATATGTTGCTTCTGTAATTAAGTGTCATGTCAGCTTCCAAACTCATTCAAACAATAACCATCTGTCATGAAGTACAAGTAGGTGTTAACATCTGAACAAGTTAAATCTTTCTGCATAATGTTTTCATCACGAACAAGCAGTTTTCCTAAAACATTCAAACACTTGGGATGAATTCTGCACTTAAGATAAGGTGTACAGGTAATCTGGTCCAAATAGGCCATCTGCTGTTCCCACAGCAAACAACTGAGTCTAATAACCGGCTGCATCCAATCAGATTGTAGCAGAGTCAGTCAAGATAAAGGCAAAGCAATAAAATGAAACAATCTGGTGCTTTGACACTACAAGCGAAAGAGCTTGCTATTTCGCCGTTGGGCTGAGGGCAAGAATGTGCTCTTTGAACCAGCTTCTTTTAACAGTTGAGCTGCATGCGCACAGCATGCCCCGAGTCTCTGAGCTGGCCCAGGAACTGTTTTCTACTGGTGTGGGCACGTCAGATGCAGGGCCACTGGGTCAGGGAGCTGGCGTCTTCACCCCTGGCACAAGTTGCTCCCCTCAGGGGCAAAGGGACTGACACCGGGCTCATGGTGGGCACCAGACAGACAGGGGCCTTCTAAACAGCTTGTGACCATAACCAACAGTGGCAAAAGAACAATGAACGCAATTATTTACAAGATCATAGTCCAAGTCTCTTTTAGAGAGTCTCCCTTTTACGCCTGTTAACGCTCACTCTTTTTTCACAGGGCAGCGTGGAGGGGCTGTGACCCCGGCAGGACAGCCGTCAGCAGGATCTTTTCATCGAGCTCAGGGATACCCTGCTATTCACGCTTTCTCACCGTCAGGCCTGCTGAATGCCCTGCAGCAGCCTCTTCCACGCCGACGTTTTCACGAAAGTTTAAGAATGACACATCAAACTATAAAACTATAAAACTTTACGCAAGTACAAGTAAAGATGGAAATACTTAAGTACTAAATGTGGGATTACGGGACAAACTTTGCCGTGAGATAAAATCTGGTATTTCTTTAATGCACCATWGAACGATTGTCTCTTATTAGCTGCGTTTCCATTGCAAATGTGCGCAAAACTTTGTCGATATTCTGTTAATGTCAAAAAACACAGTTTCGCAATTGCAGTGTTTCCATTAAGTAAGAAACGCTATAAAGTCACGCGTAAATACRTTTGTTCTCACGATAATTCATTACAAACATGGTGGCAATGGATGAAAACACATAGCATATTGCTAACACAAGACTAGCGCTCATCATCAGCCATCAGAGGAGACGTCGGCGTCTTATCTAGGCTTTTGAGCGACAAGCCCCTTATACTTGGGAGTGGCTACGTATGCTGCGTTTTTGGGAAAATGTAGTCGGTGAGTTTAATTTTTTCTTTTACTACTTCGGTGATTTCACTATTACTTTTACTTCCTGTCATCTTCTTCGTCGTTGTCTTTTCGCCAGTAGAAACAGTCGGTTCTTGATCACATGACTCCCGTGACGCGAAAAAAGTGTTTCCATTGTAGTTTTGCGGAATACATCAATTTCGATATGGCCGAAAACAACTCTTCCTATCACAAAAACATTTTGTCGAAAAACGTAACTTTTTTCGAAATTTATGTGTTTCCATTGAGCAAATTTATTTTCGAAATTCTAATTTGCGCATTTTCATGGTCAATGGAAACACAGCTACTGTTGGTTTTAAGCCCTGAGAACCTGGCACAGGTTTGGTTTGCCACTGGGTGACAGTTGAGGTTTGAGAAGGCAAAAATATTGCTCAGGCTGAAATTCATAGTCCAAAAATAAAATGAATGTAATACTTGTAAACATGAAAACCAATGATTAATAAAAAATGACTTATTCATTTCCAAGAATTAATCCTGCACAGTTAACATTCATTTCAGCGATAAACATCAATGGCTAGTTTGTCTTTAATCAGCCATTTCCCACTCAATATGTTACACTCAATATATTGTTCCAAAGATTGTACAATAAGTTTACATACAGTCTGGGCAAACATGACAAACCTGATCACATTTACACAGATTACATAGAGTTTTATTTTTCCCCATGTGGTTTTTGGCTGTGACCATTTAGGAGTCTAGATGAAGAGAGCAGCGAGTGCGGCAGAGGGTCCTACCATAAACAATAAACAACAGTTATCTTGTGTGCAGCCGTCTGTGTCAAGTGGCACACGAAGCCAAGTCCAGCATCTGAGAGGCGTCTGGTCCTCTTTCCGCCTTTGCTCTTGTCTCTTTCAATGGCGTGCAAACGTGTGGATGTGTCTGCACGCCCAGCGGTGTGTGTGTTTTAGTTCACCACACAGTGCTCCTCCATTGTGTTCTGGGACTGGCTGGGGTAAAAAGGCAAAATTAAGAGCGGCGGGGGCGAGAGGACAGGGGCTGCCAGTGTACAGCTGAACTGCGGGGAGCTCCACCAGATCCCAGCTGCCCAGAGCTGGCTGAGACCTTTAGACCAGTGCCAGGCTTCCATGGCTATCGAGGAGGAAGGCCTGACCGAGTGGGGAGAAGGAAAGGAACAGAAAGAACAATACCTAAAATATTGTTTGAGCGTTTATTAAAATACAGTGTAGTTCAAATAAAATATTTATTTTTCTTTCGATTGAATCCATTTTTTTAGAAATAATTGTCTACAGAGCTCATATTCCACTTGAACATCCAACTACATCCAGAGTAACCCTACTACAGAACGGGTTGCCTGAACTCTCCACAGGAGCTGGCAACAGAGTGGTTTATCTGGAACTGTTTAATGCATTATTTGCTTAACAATCAAGGAAGCAAGTTTATTTTGCGGATAATTATAGCTTTTGTTGCATTGATGGCCAAGATAAGCCAGAGTTCCGAACCATTAACTCGTTATGCTTTTTCTGGCAAATGCCAGGAATGAGTTTGTTGTGCAGGAGAAAACTGGACACAAAACAGAGAACATGGACAACATAGGGTGCTTGCTTCAGTACTAAACCTAATCAATCAATACAATCATTTAGTTRAACTGTCTGGGGTTTTTTCAAAGTTACACATCTCTTGAATCAAGCTTAAACAATAAAAATGCAACCGTATATAAAGCCAATGTCTGAGCCTAATCCCACCCCAGAATGGAGTAATTTCGTACAAGCCTCAAATTGGAACATGTGCTCCAAAATTTGGGGGCTCTACTGTAAGCAGCAATAATTACAGCTCAGACTGTGGAAATCCCCTGGCTGGTCTAGACACCTCTGTCCTTTGAGTTGACCCAGGAACCGGCTGGGGTACTAATCATGGCACTTGGCAAAGAGCAGCATTTTTCCAGAGGTCCTCAGAGAAAGGCCTTCCTCTGCCGAGGCAGGTAATCACAACACAAGCACATCCCGCCCAAGCGGCAGGCCAGTGACTGGGAGCCGGTTTGTCCACCCCAGGAGGAGACGGGACACTATTTCTGTCCTTGTGACAGGAACAAATGACCCACGTGTCACCCTGCCTGTTTGCCTGACTGCCGGCTCGGGAGCTGATGTGGGTGGTGTTCGTCACTGTACTCCCACCCTGGGGCTAGTGACAGGAAGTGAGCTTCACCGTGACAAGGGAATTCGAAATATGTCTCTGTTGCCTTGACAAAAATACAAATGGGTGGTAAAGAAAAACAAAACAAAAAAAGCCCTCATTGCTGATGTGTTGAACGATCGGTCACGTTCCAACTAGGGGTGCAAGGATACCGAAAATTCACGATTCGGTTCGGTTTGATAATTTAGTCCCACGGTTCGGTATTTTTTGGATGCAAAAAAGATAAATTTCCATGCCCCTTTTAACTTGTAATTTATTTAAATTAATTACTAACATTTGTTTAACCTCAAAAGTACAGTTTTTAAATTAAATGTTACTGAAACAGCAAGTTTCTCAGTGGATCTGCGCTCAGAAATACAGCCTAGGTGGAGTAGTTGAACACAGATCCACTGATCCTTCAACACAGAGCATCTTCAGAAGACAAGTTGATAAAGTAAATTTTAAAAATCTGTATTGTTCGATACAAGTGTGTATTGAACCTAAAGTACTGTTCGATACGGTTCCATACAGGTACATGTATTGTTGCACCCCTAGTTCTAACATATTCATATGTAAGACTGCCAAAAAACCAAACTTCTTCTTTACATCAGGGGTCCAAATTCTACTTTCTGTGTCAAGGTTCTGACATATTTAGCCATGTTTTMCACAGCTGGATGTTTCCTTTGGACACCTGGACTTTATTTGACAAGTCCAGGAGGTTGGATGCAATTTGTTACCCATAATGACATGTTGAGGGACAACATGTCCGAAAATCAGAACTAGACACTATACAGCCAAGAAGCCCAAGTTCAAAGAGTGTAACAAACTTATTTCTATTAAACTTTACATAATTATATTGTCACCTTTTTAAACTTAAATATAACTAAATAATTCTCTCAGTTTGTTAAATTGATTTCTTTGAACCCTTCCTGCAGTGTAATCTGTACTTCCCAACAAACAGTTTAAGGATAAATAAAAACCCTAACAGTACTTTGTCACACTTTTTCCCTTCAACAACCGTGACAATGAGTGACGAACTGACTWACTTCAATAACAAGACAGTTAATATAACGAAGTAATTTGACTCACAGTAAAAACTTGCTCACAGCTTGAATGGTGATTTAACTCATGTTTACGTCTCATTCAGGTGTTCCAGCTCGACCCATCATCCAACAGGTTCTTGCTTCTGCTTTGTTTTGCACGATTCCTCTTTTTTAATGTCTGTTTTTTTCTGTGAATAAAAAGAAGAAAAGAAAGAGAAAATCAAGCAGAAGTCATATTTTATTTATCAAACACTGAAATGTTTCTTTGTCTTTTTCTACAGCTTTTCTCTTTTTTTTCCTTTAAGCCGCGAATACTGCTGTGATCGAGTCTTTATTAGCCAGAACTCACAAGCATAGCCCACCCTGGCACAGCCGATGGCACCACCAAGCTGACAATTATTATCTACCTCACTGCTCCTGCTAGCAAGCTGACGGGTCAGGCAACATTTGTCTGGCTGGAGGGWACAGTATCTGTCTGCATGTCAGGGAGCAAATCTGGATCCCTCCTTCCCTCCTGGACTATAATCAACTTTACAGGAAGTATTATTTACAGTTTTTTTAATGTAAAATAATGTTTATTAAATGCTAAACCATTATTAAGAACTATATTCAGATTTACAGCGTGAAGCAGATGCTTGTTCGCAGGAAACCTCAATCTAACTGACGAGCTCTGAAGTGAGTCATCCCAGGATATTTTGCTCATTGTCTTTAATATTCTCCCTCACCTCCCCTGTATTTATCTGCCACAATCTGTCTTTCTCTCCTGCACAGTCGACACTGCCACACCTTGTATCCACAACAGCGTGCATGAGTTCTGTGTTGTGGTTTGAACCTTTAAGCAGCCCTGGCATCATTTAGGTTCTTTATGATTCAGCTGAAAGCCAAAAGTTCATCCCATAAATAAGTCAAAGACGACTTTATAAACAAAAACGTCAAAAAAAAAAAAATGAACCTACAAAACTTAAAAAGATTATTAACACAGATGTGCTTAGACTGCTTTAAATACTGCAAAATTATAAATGCTGTCAAATGATTAATATTTTTAATCGGATTAATCCCAAAGTAGCTGTGAATTAATCACGATTAATCTTAAATATACATTTCTATTG